TTAGCCTTGGATGAATCACCTTGGTTTCTAATTTGTATTCGCTAGTTTTCTTAGTTTTTTTTTTTTTTTTTCTTTTATTTTATTGATGACCGCCCATTTAGTAAACAAAATATGGAATAATATCTTTTCTCGACACAAATAACGATGAGCACATTTTTTTTTTTTTTTCATTCAATTGTGTACACACTCATCAACTCGTCAATCATTCATATAATAATCTTTCAGGCTTTTGTCGAAGCTTTTTTTTTTTTTTTTTCTCCGATAAAATTGAAAAATTCGAGTGCTGGTTGCCCGAATAATTTGCCTTTCGTCGAATTAAATCGAAATAAAAATAAATATCAATTTTTTCCTCGTGAAACAGATAATCCTTGTCGCGTGTTTCGCGATGAAGATTGAAATAAAAAAAAAAAAAAAAAAAAATGATCAATGAAAAATTATTAGCAGCTCTCGAATCAAGGGTACTTAGAATGGTCCATGTAAATACGTTTAGAGAATTTTTGTATGAAAAAATTGTTCATAATTACCGAACGTATATATTTAATAAACACAATGTTTCTAACAAGAGATAATATTTAATTTTAAGCAAACGATCATATGTGTGTCTTTTCATGAACGTTGTACAGGATGTTCTCGTTATAAATATTCTTGCATTTTTAAATATACGAAATATTCGCTAAAGATAGTAGGCGATAGAATTTTGTGTAATCATAAGTTTAAATGTTAAGTCTAGCCAAATATATTTCAATTTCGTATTAGTGTAACATTTCACTAATTTGAATTTAAATTTAATTTAGTTACATTTATTTATTTTATAAAAAATATGTTTATTTATTCGTTTTTCGTCCCTTAAAAAAAAAAAAAATGTTGTCCGAGTGATAAATTTTCGTATTTGTTTAGATTATATTATGAATTGCTGAAAAGAATGATTTTTTTTTTTTTTTTTTTTTTGATTTTATATTTTAGTTTAATTTAAACATAAAATCTTATAGAAGCTTATTAAAATAAGCCAATAGAAGCTTACTAAAATAAAAATCTTCAGAATTTTTATAAGAAAGTAATTAATGTCGGGGCATTAAATTCTACATTATACTCTATGTATAAAAATTCTGGAGAAGCCTTGATAAGTAGAAACTTATGGCTATAAAAAAGTAAAAAAAAATAGAACCAAAAATTAATAATAATAACTTGTGATCTCATTCACTTAAATGTAATGCTATTTGACAAATCATCAAACAAAAAATAATATATTTTCAAATATTTTTTAGAAAACAGTAGTCTACAATAATATACTTTAAAAAAATCTTTATTAGTATTATATAATACATAAAACATGTATAGTCAAAAAAGACTTTTATAATTTTTTTATCATAATTTTTTATATTAAGTCTACGATAATTTATCGTAATTAAGTTCAATATTATTTACGTTCACTTAATTTAACGAATATTACGTATTTTAAAAATTTCTTGAATTTCTCAGCATCTTGTACACACCAAAAAGATCGACCTGCAGGAAATACCTCAAACAACGAAAGCTCGTTCGAAAATAGGTGCCAACAAATTGCTAATAATTTTTCTGCGATACCCGATTGTCCGTAATATCTTTAAAAAAAAAATGTCCAATTTATCGTGAAATTTGCGACTTGCGTGGAAGAAAAGAAAGAAATTTTTTTTTATAATTTTCTCGAGCGAAGACATGTGACTACGAATGAATGAATGATGAAAGTCTGAGAGAAATAAAGAGAGAATGTATGAATTTACGTGATGCGCGATCGTAACCTGTGAAAGATATCGAAGAAAAGGGGATAAAAACGTAAACGAGCGATCTTTCGATATGAACGGTTTCCATTGAGAGAATATCGATCGAAATGTGAATCGAATTCGTATCATTCCGATTTTTCTCTAAAAAAAATTAATATAAATCGAATTGATCGAATAGAAACCGAGAGGAAGGAAATAATTAGGAAAATTTGAATTCGAAGTTTCGTTTTCCTTAGAGCCTCGAGAAATGAAAATGAAAATGAAAGAACGTGATTTTTTGTGTGATAATTGAACCGTTTCGTTCAACGATCTCTTGGTTACGTTTTCGCTTACATTTCCATTCTTAAGGTTACTTCTGTAGCAAGATCGGGTGAGAAAAAGTGTATGAAAGAAAGAGAGAAAGTGAGCGAAAGATTGTATATACACCGCCTGCACTTTGTACGAATATTGCGATCATCGTTGTTCAGCGATCTTTTTGTTTCCTTTCGTCGTTTAATAAAGTGAATTCTTCATGACCTCTTCAATTCAATGAAACGTGATCATTTTAATGTTATTAATTTACCTTTGTTTATATATTTTTAGAAATTCTCGATTATGATTATAATTCTTTTTTTTTTTTTTGCAATTTTTAAGAAAGAAATTGAACGAACGAAGTATGCTCGGGAAATTTTCAGGTTTTTTTTATTTTTTATTACTATAATACAATTTGATTGTTGTGTAAAATCTGTTGTAATTATATACTTAAAAAAAAAAAAAAAAGAATGTATCTATGCTTACATCATTAAGGAATAAAACACGGNATAGCACAATAGAACAGAACAACAACCCTATTGTGAATGTTAGATTATCTTTATTATTACATCTGTTTAAAAGACATAACTTATTTATAAAAAATATGAGGATTGGGGGTACCGGATGTAAAGGGACAATAAGGAAGAGATGGGGAAGGCAGGATATAATAGGATCGAACAAATCCTTAGTTTATAGAATAGTTAATACTAATAAAACTCAGTACTTTTTACAAGTTACAAAGGAATAACAAGAATCTATCAATAATTGGAAGTTTCTCTAAACTTATCATAGATAACTGTAAATTGGAGCGTGTAAACTTATCTATTCATCTCTTTCGCACTTCCTTCTTTTTTTTTTTTCTTCGTTAAAAAAATCAATGCGTATCGCAGTGTTTTCATTTCATTTAAATTTTGAACACAATTGACAATGATCTTTTACATTAATTACACTTAATTTAACAATCTCCGTTCAATTCTTTTTATCCATTACATTATCGTCTGTATTCTGGATCATATTGATTAAAAATATCAAATTCATTATATGTAACAATATATGATCGAATACTAAATTCTATCACGCGTCATTTATTGTCTGAGCTCGTATCTGATTCTTTACAATATATTATTTAAAAAAAAAAAAAAAAAAAAAAAAAAAAAAAGAATATTAACATATCTCTTGATATTTTCGTCGTTCGCTATTTGGCAGACTTTTCGTGGCTTTAACAAATACAAAGGCAGTCGTGTGAAGATACACTTATTAATTCGTTACAAAGATTCTATGTATACATATATATATTCTTTTATATATAAATAAAAAATGTCTCTCCTTAGGAGCATTATAGGTTCGCGAAAATATATCATAGAAAATTGCGTTGGACCCATATGTGTTCTAATGTCTCGGGAAAAATCTCCATCACACTGTTACATGTAATTGAGAATTGCATTAAGGAACATGATCGCGTCGATCCTCCATGCAACAATTAATTACACGCTTATGCAAATATATATATATATATATATATATGTATATATATATATATATATTATATTTTTTATACATATAATATATATATATATATTTTTTTTTTCTCTGTTCTATGATCCATATTGTAATACGATAAAAAGGAAACATTATTACTGTATATACGGGAAATCGTCTTATAAAACTATCGATAATCTAGCTCCTTATATAATATAAAAAAAAATATATGTAAAAACAGTTTTGTACAAAATCGAGAGAAAAGACAATTACATGGAAGAAAAATATTCGTTACCGCATTATAGATGAGCGGATAGAATGGTGAAGAACAGAGCGTGAATAGAAAGAATAGATGTATAAGTATATTTACAAATTTTCTGTTTAAAGAAAAGCGAACGAGATAAACAAGATTCAGAGGAAAAAAAAAAAAAAAAAAAAA